GTTCTTGTTCCTAGTAGTAAGGCCAGGAGCCCCTAGTAGCGTTCTTGCTCCTAGTAGTATGGCCAGGAGCCCCTAGTAGTAAGGCCAGGGGCCCCTAGCAGCGTTCTTGCTCCTAGTAGTAATGCCAGGAGCCCCTAGCAGCGTTCTTGCTCCTAGCAGTAAGGCCAGCAGCTTCTAGTAGCGTTCTTGCTCCTAGCAGTAAGGAAAGGAGCCCCTAGCAGCGTTCTTGCTCCTAGCAGTAAGGCCAGGAGCCCCTAGTAGCGTTCTATGGCCAGGAGCCCCTAGTAGTAAGGCCAGGGGCCCCTAGCAGCGTTCTTGCTCCTAGTAGTAAGGCCAGGAGCCCCTAGCAGCGTTCTTGCTCCTAGCAGCAAGGCCAGGAGCCCCTAGTAGCGTTCTTGCTCCTAGCAGTAAGGAAAGGAGCCCCTAGCAGCGTTCTCGCTCCTAGCAGCAAGGCCAGGAGCCCATAGTAGCGTTCTTGCTCCTAGTAGTAAGGTCAGGAGCCCCTAGTAGCGTTCTTGCTCCTAGCAGTAAGGCCAGGAGCCCCCAGTAGCGTTCTTGCTCCTAGTAGTAAGGCCAGGAGCCCCTAGTAGCATCCTTGCTCCTAGTAGTAAGGTCCTTGCTCCTAGTAGTAGGGCCAGGAGCGCGTTCTTGCTCCTAGTGGTAAGGCCAGGAGCCCCTAGTGGCGTTCTTGCTCCTAGTAGTAAGGCAAGGAGCCCCTAGTAGCATTCTCATAGCAGTAAGGCCAGGCGTCCCTAGTAGCGTGTTTGCTCCTAGTAGTAAGGCCAAGAGCCCCTAGTAGCGCCCTTGCTCCTAGTAGTAAGGCCAGGAGCCCCCAGTAGTGTTCTTGCTCCTAGTCGTAAGGCCAGGAGCCCCTAGTAGCGTTCTTGCTCCTAGTAGTAAGGCGAAGAGCCCCTAGTAGCGTGTTTGCTCCTAGTAGTAAGGCCAGGAGCCCCTAGTAGCGTTCTTGCTCCTACTATTAAGGCCAGGAGCCCCTAGTAGCGTTCTTGCTCCTAGTAGCAAGGCCAGGAGCCCCTAGTAGCGTCCTTGCTCCTAGTTGTAGGGCCAGGAGTAGTAGCGCCCTTGCTCCTAGTAGCGATGCCAGGAGCCCCGTTCTTGCTCCCAGTAGCGATGCCAGCAGCCCCTAGTAGGGTACTTGCTCCTAGTAGCGGTGCCAGGAGCCCCCAGTGCCGTTCTTGCTCCTAGTAGTAAGCAAAGATCCCCTAGTAGCGTCCTTGCTCCTGGTAGTAAGGCCAGGAGTAGTAGCGTCCTTGCTCCTAGTAGCGATGCGAGGAGCGCCGTTCTTGCTCCCAGTAGCGATGCCAGGAGCCCCTAGTAGGGTCCTTGCTCCTAGTAGCGGTGCCAGGACCCCTGGTGGTGCCAGGAGCCCCCAGTAGCGTTCTTGCTCCTAGTAGCAAGGCGAAGAGCCCCAGTAAGGCCAGGAGCCCCTAGTAGCGTACTTGCTCCTAGTAGTAAGGCGAAGAGCCCCTAGTACCGTGTTTGCTCTTAGTAGTAAGGCCAGGAGCCCCTAGTAGCGTGTTTGCTCCTAGTAGTAAGGCCAGGAGCCCCTAGCAGCGTCCTTGCTCCTAGTAGTAAGGCCAGGAGCCCCTAGTAGCGTTCTTGCTCCTAGTAGTAAGGCGAAGAGCCCCTAGTAGCGT